CAAGTTCTGCGGAGGCGGCGAACCGGTGCCTGAGGCGACCAGCAGTGGCACGGAGATCCTGGTCGAGTTCACCACGTCGCCTTACGGCACGTTCTTGCACCCCACGCCGCCCCACTCGCTCCACGGCTTTCAATTAGAAGTGCAAGTACGTGGTAATTCTCTTCAAACATTCAAGGGGACAGGGGAGTCCTTCACACACCTCCACGAGGCCAGACATTTCTCGCGAATCGAGCATTCAAATGGACTGTAACTGTAAAGGTTATGAATTATGAAATTAAAGTGTATAAAGTAAAATTACTTTTCTGCTTGTATCAGGAGTAAGAAAAACATGACAACACAAGTTTATAACGAAGAAAGTCCCTCGAGGTTATTTTGAAGGTGATCCCAAAGTCATCGACATTGTGCTTATTTTTCATTTGTTTCGTTATTTTTATAAAAGTTAATATGCAAAAAAGTTGATAACCTTGGAGTGATATTCAAGAAGATTCTGAAAGGGGGGTTTCTTCTTTCATCAAACCATATAAGCAGGGGAAATAATTTAGATGTTCGTTATAAGTGAGACACCTCGTGTACAAGCACTCTATCTGTCGAAACAGTGACACTAAAAAAAAAAATACAGAAGGGCTCAATCTTCCAATTTAACCTTCCATAAGCTAATTTTTCTTCGTTCGTGAGAAGAGAAATTAATAATACAACGTTACAACGCAACAGTATAGAAGTGAACCAACAAAGAGAGACTTATAAAAAATAGGTAAAACTTGACTACACAATATTAACCACCATTCTACCTTTAAAAATTAAAAAAAAAAAACACTATAAAATTCAAACGAACAACCTACCCACTGTCTACCAGTTGAACATTCCGAAACTCAAAGTAATCACTCGATCTACGAAACAAGCACTCGTCCAACAAACAAACAGAATGCCACGAAACTAGCCGAAATCGTGATCGTACAAACATCCCGTACTACGAAACTCTCGTTTCAGGTAAAGTTCGTGGACGCAGACTCGCCAACGTACGCGAAGAACAAGCACTGCGAGTTCTGGCTGCAGGGCAGCGGTGGTGGTGTGCTCGCCTCTCCACGACACTCTCTTCCACGGAACAGCACGTGCTTATACCATCTTCGTGGCGCTGGTCCAGCGTTACCGAGTCCAACTCCACCGCGTCCTTTGCCAAAATTTCCGGAACAGAGGCCAGGAACCGTGTGGAGGAGGCCTGCTCCGAGGCCCCCGCAACCGCAGTTCCGCGTGTGGCTGTCGATTCTCAAGTTTCACGTGGGCACAAGTCTGACCAGTAGCGATGAGGATTGCTCGACGACACTTATGGTTTGGGACGGAGAGATGATGCCCCTTTCAGAGTGCTACGACCTCGCATGGTTCGTAGAGAAATTGTCTTTGATTAATTACCGAACGAATGGCCTGGGTATCTTGTGTGTGTTGTGGAGAGAAACTTCTGAATCTGTGGGTGTGTTTTGTGCGTATGAAACGATCAACGCCTCAGTCAGGAGGGGAATCTCCTGATTGCCTTCGCCGAGTTTGCTTTCTTGTTAATTGTTCAAGGTGGATCTTCTTGTCGGCGAGTTGTACGGGATGGATAGTTTTGGGGGTGAGTTTGAGGGTTTTCGGTTTTGGGGTGTTAATTGCTTGAATAGATTCTGCGGGGTTAAGAGACTGGTCCCTTTGGCTGCTTGGAGAACTTCTGTTCGGTGGTTTGGAGAAGGCTTTTCGAAGAAAATATGACGAACATTGGAGTTACTTATTTGTGAAATTTATTTATCCAACATCCTAGCCATTCCGTTAAAAAAATGTTTGATTCGTTTCATAGAATTTATGCACGAAATGTCTATGCATCGATGTTTAGTCATCAAAGTTTTACCAGTTCCGATCAACCGCCATTAAGATTGTTTGTTTAATTCATTCGGCAACAAATAGCCAACCAGTTTATCCTATATTCGAACCATTCACGAACCATATTCGACAAATCCGTCGCCTAGTATTCAACCAATTTATTCAATACCCTACTCATTCTACTCGACAAATCGTCTAACCAATTTATTCAATACCTTGTCCGTCGCTCAGCCAATACCAATCAACTAATTCGACATCCTATAACATTCTGATCAACAATTCTCAATAAAATTCATACTAGCCGTCCAATATTCAACTCTAGTAAATGGTTCTGCTTGTCCATCGACCAATATTCAACCAACTTGTCCAACATTTTGTCCATTAACTAACATATCCAACACCTTACCCACCATTTCAACAACATTCAACCCATCTGTTCTAAAAAATCACGTCTCATCAACAGCGAGAAGGAGCACCAGCGTCACGGAGACAGGTCATCGGAGCTCTCTCACCCTTTAGCTGCTCGTCCAGCAGGAAACACAACACTTTTAGCCCGCTACTGCAAGGACAAGGTACCAAGAACCTGCGACCATGCTATTTTGCAGAATACCAGTCGTCCTTGTTCACTTGGAGAGAGCTTCGTTTCCAGCGGAAGCAGCCTGACCATCGAGATGCGGATGGTGGAGTCGACGGCTCTCAGGCGAGTGTAACTCGATTGCACCGCTAGAGTAGAACGAGGGGAAACGCGATGTTGTAGAGAGGGATGGAAAAAAGCGGTTTCCGTTTCAATTACAAGCTCTCCCGAACGCCGCGGCGCGTCCGCGTGCCGTTTTGTTCTCCTCTGTTTCAGCACCCGCGCACGCCTATCGATCGACATCCCTTCGTATTATGTTTTCTCTCGAGCGTCAATGTAAAGAGATTTCGCTGGAAATGAGCTTTTATTGGCCCATGAGTTTCTCCTTTTTTTTTTTTTTTACAGAGAAAGAGAGAGAGATGATAAAGAAAGGATTCTTCTGTAAAATTTGAAATTGGAAATTTTAATGGATTTTCAAGTGACATCCTAGAAAAGAATTACATTCAGAAAAGGTACCGAAAAGACCGAGTTACAGAAAACATTTGTCGAAGGAAAGGGAATAAAGACTCGTGTCGAAGAAGCGTAAATGGCGATCGTGGACAATTTGAAAAGAGATCAAAGACACAAGATGTCCTTTTTCTCCGATCCTTTATCACTCTGCCTTTGAAGTGCTTTTTTTGAAATCGGTTTTTCGTTTACGAAAATCGAATCACAGCGGAAGCGAGAGAGAAATGAAAGACAAACTTTCTGCTCGCAGCAGCACAACTTTCGGTCGAAAGTTTGTGAAAGAAGATCAGACTTTAAAGGGAGAGAGGAAAAGGGGGGAGGGGACAGACTTGATTTCCTCGAAGAAATCACGGTTTGAGATTTCTCGAAGATCGCGATATCTTGGTGAGTTTTTCTGCTCGTTCGAGGCTTTGCATATAAATTCAGATGAAATTCGCTCGTGACACCGGCTCGCTGGAATCGATACAGAACGTTACACGCGAGGAATGCGGAGGTTTTATGGCGACGCAGCGCAATATCTGCCGCACTTGCACGTTTTCGCTCCCTTTTCCCTTCCTACGTCAGCCTCAGTATCAGTTATTTATAAGGAGCGATTTTTCCTGGTGCACCGGAAGTCACGGTAACGCCGCGACTTAGGAATTTCTGTGAATTCGTTGAGCATAGAGCAGAGTCGATTCTTTCCACAGATTAGATATTCAAGTTCTCTGTATTTTCAAGATTATAAAATTTTCTAACGATACTTCAATAGCAATCTGAGAAAAGTAGTTGAACAAATGTAAAAATGATATTAATGAGATAATAATTTCAGAAATCTAGTAATGATTTAAAATGTACAAAAGCAGTATAAAGACAGTAACTTAACAAATTATCCAAGAATAATGTGAAAACAATTTTTTTCACATGATGATAATTTGAAAAGTCCAACAACAATGAGAGTAGTCGTTCGAAAAAATACAAAGACATTAGTCGTTACAGTCATAGATATAATTTCAACAACTTCGAAAAATACGTACACCACCGGCCAAAAGTTTGGAATCACTAAGCATTGCAATTTACACAAAAGTTTCCAGAAAAAAGTCAGTGACTTTGAGAATTTTTTATCATTTGAATCAATTGATATAAGATAAATTGATAAATGTAGAATTGAGATAAACTTCAAATCTATAGAAAAGCAGCAGATTTAATATTGATGAAAAGTGGGAGGTGATTCCAAACTTTTGGCCGGTAGTGTATGTACACATAATAGGTTAGGGAGAAAGTCTTTTTACAAATTAAGGCATAGTTGAAACACATTTTTGAAATTGTTTACAAATCTTTTATTAAACTAAATACGTGCCATTTTGATCAATGACCTTTTGCCATTTTCCGGGTAAAATCATTATTCCATCTGTGTAGAACTTCTGAGGTTTCTGGGCGAAAAATCGAGACAGGTGATTTTCGCAGGCTTCTTTTGAAATCAAGTTTACCCCATTATGGGAGTTCTGCAGAGACCGAAACAGGTGGTAGTCCGACGGTGCAAGGTCAGGACTATACGGTGGATGAAGCATGATTTTCCAGCAAAGCTCTGTTAATTTTTGCCGAGTTGTTAAAGACGTGTGCGGCCTGGCGTTGTCCCTTTCTGTTGACCAATTCTGGTCGCTTTTCCTGAATTGACTGCTTCAGTCGTATTAATTGTTTGCAATTTGCTGCTGTTTGTCTCGATACCGCATTTCCTCCATTTTTATTAGTTGCCTGTGCAGCGTTTTTTCCCTTTTTTAAAATAAAAGAGCAAAATGTTCTTGATGTTCACTCATCTTTAAATTGCAGCAATAGCGCTCAAATCCACTATAAATCAGTTTTAAAATGCTCTGTGAAATGTTACCTTTTCAATGACACATAACTTAATACGTGAAAAGAAACGGAATGTTGAAATTTGACCAAATCTCAATCTGCCGTCGATTTGTAAAAGAACTTTTTCCCCAACCCAATATTACCAAGACAATTTGAAAACTCTGATAACAGTACGAAAATGCTAATGAAAAAAAATGACAACAATTACAAAAACATACAATAAAAGAAAGCACGATAAAACTACAACAATAATTTCCAAAACTCCAATAACCAACAACACTCTCCTCTCCGAAAAACTAGCATCTGCAATTACTCATGAACAAAACAAATATCCCAAAATTCCATCACGGAAAAACGAAGGAAAAAGAAATAAAAAATCCTCATCGACAGACACTCTTCATCCCTTCGTCCCTTAACACAATCCCCGGGCATACGCCATTAGAGCCTGTCCAAGAGTTCAATTAAATCGAGCGCGCTGCTCCCTGAATAAAAAAAAAAAGAGGGAGAGAAGTATAAAGGGGAAGAAAAAAAGGAGGAAAAAAAAAAGAGAAGAAAAGATAAAACGAGGAAGGCTACACGTACGTATGTATGGCACGGGTCATTTTTAATTGGCCGCACAAGGGGGCGGCTCTCCCGACCGAGGAATTGGCCCGTTTAACGGGTTAATAAAGGCGGAAGGATTAACTAGACCGTGCGACGCATCCGCGTTCCACGCGGCTATCATGCTCAAACACGCGCCCTCCTCTCCTCCTACATGTCACACTGTGTATGCGTGTATGGGTGTGTGTATTTATATGTGTATGACAGGCTTCCATCGAGAAATAAAATGTAAATAAGCCCCTTTTGCGAGCATCCCTTCGACGACACGACGAGACGTTGACAACCTGTGCAATCTGTACCGATAATTACAGCCAGGGTGCATCGAACGGTCATCACGTGTTTCACCCTGTGAATAATAGAATATTTTTAGCCTTAGAGTATTTTTATGATTATAAGGAGAATGAGGATGTTGCCTCTAGAATAGTGATACAATATAAATACATAGCTGTCGATTAATTTCGTCACGAGAATTATTAAATTGGGCAAAGTGTACTGAATTGATCGTACGTTTCTTTTGTGTTTAAAAGGAACAATAATAATAACGATAGTAACACTCTTCGTAGAAAAATGTTCACACTTGACGCACATCATAGAACAAAGATGAATGGACCAGAAACACCTCATCGTCGTTCCTAATAACTACCCATAAAAATTCGAGAAAATGTAATATTCACATTTGCCCTAAACAGAATGATTTTTTTCTCTCATTAACCTTGACAAGGTCGGAATATAAACTAATTGTAAAATTGCTTTGCCCTGAAGGCCGGTGAATTTTCGTGCTCTGTACGAGTTCGTCGATCTTCATCAGGATGGGGACCCTTACGGTAGCGGACCATGCTCGAGGATCTTCTACAGCCGCAATCGGGATCATTATCTGAATCGTAGATTTCAGGCGACCCGCGACATCTTCCTCTACGGTCGTGGTGGCGCGAAAAATATCAGGTGAGATAATTTTCTTCTCCTACTAGAACTACAGTAAATTTTCTACAAGTGTCAGTCAGTTTGGATTCTACAAGTGTCAGTATAGGTGGTCCTACGCCTATATTTTTCTGTTAATAAGTAAATGTTGTTCAAATTATGTCGTGTTTGATGTCATTTTCATCAGAAAAATCTCATCAATATGTTAAGAAAAATTTCGGGATAAAAAAACGTAAAATTAAAAAAGTTGGTATTTAAATCGCTTGGTTGCCTCGACTCACGTTTCATCCTTATCTTTATTCGCTGTCCTTGTCTACGTTCGGCAAACTACAAAGGCGGGCGCGAGGCTCGAAAACGTAGTCCCTGACTCTACAAGTGTCAGGTTTAGGTTCCTTGCGGACAGACACTTGCGGAGAATTTATTGTATTAGGTGAATAGCTTATTAGGAAACACGCATTTCATGCATTTGAACAATTTTTCTAAAATTTCTAAGTCTAATCTAAAATTTAAATGCAACAGTTTTCGGGGTATTAAAAAGAAACTTTTCGAATAATAGATTCCATAATTTCCTAAATTCCTATATTCCACAATAGCAAAGACTTACTAAGTATCCTGTTCACATAAAAAATCACAAAATCACAGCCTTGATCACTATCACTGAATCATAAGACTTCCAAAACAATAATACCAACAAGCTCCATAAATTCTTAAAAAATTGAAACCACAATAAAACACCATTCAAGTGATAATCAGAGGTTCAACTAACCCGGAAAAGCTCAACAGCAGCTGAATGACCAAGAATTAATAGAAGAAAGAGTCTGAGCTCAGCCATAACCACGATCTGCCCGCTTAAAGGGTCTGCAGATCCAGCGAAGGAAGAAAAAAATGGGCTAGCGAGCCATAACGGGGACAAACTCTTTCTCTTTCACGCGGCAAACGATTTCGCGATTTTCAAATGAGATGCGCCTCTTTGTTCTACCTGTAAAAGCGATAGACGCGTCCCGTAAATAGTCCCTTTGTGCCTCGCGCCTTTTTTCTCTTCCTCTTTTCCTTCTCTCTCTCTTTTTTTTTTTTAACTATTCCACCCTCGTTGGAGTTCCTCGACCCCCTTCCAGCTAGAAGACAGAATCTCTCCCTTCCTCAGGAGATCCTCAGACAGCAGTGAAGCATCAACGACACTTCGACTTTTCCGTGAAATGGAAGTTCTTGTAAAGTATAGGATGCCTTCTTTTCCTCAGATGTTGCGATGCTCGTTTCGTGTTTGCTGCTTTTTCGGGATTTTTCCAGCTAGAGAAACGATGGAATTCTTCTTCAGCGATGGGACGACTTGGAAATGGAAACTTCTGTGTTACGATTTTGGCAAATTTTCATTCAATTCTTGGTCAGTTGTTGATTGCATTTGATATGGAGAAATTGATATTGAATGTTTTCTGAGCTTGAGTCCTATCTAAATTACTACCTCTTTGAAATCTTTCACTAAAAATAAGGAAACCATTCCAAGTTCTTTATCTTGTTTCGAATGTTCCTTTTTATTCCGTCGTTCTAAATTTATCACTTCCCTTTAAAGAAAAAGTCAAAGATCATTATTACATTATTCTCCCATTTTTAATTTTTCTTCGTCCCTCATCAGCTGTCCCGAATGAAAATCACAAAATTACCACTTGTAACCATTCACAAACTTTCCGTTATATTCTCCAGAGTCAATTTTCCCCCATTTTCGCCCTTCGAAACACCACTTAACGTCTAAAACAGCCACGAAAGGAACAGCAGGGCTTCCCTGACACACAATTCAGCCCTTCTCCAGCACTTGAACCATTCGTTACCGTTCATCGATCGCCAGGCGAGGAAAGTTTCCTTGGCCAGCCGTTAAGCTGGACGTCCGTGTGCTTTATGGTGTCGTAAAGCGGACTTTACGCCTTTTCCCACACCCTGGATCCTCCTTCACTGGATCCTTCTCAATAAAAGCTGGCCCTATGATTATCGTCGATAAACATGGACCAGTTTTTCGCATAAAACACCGTTCCTCTGGGTTGTTTGCCGTGCAAATGTATATACTTCTATTGCTATCGTGGCACGTTTCACGTGTTACGAATCTCATTTACCTTGTTCCTGTTTATTGTCGAACACCATCGGCTGATGGAGAAATTGGAGAACACGTTTGCACGAATATTTTCGCTTTGAAGTGTGTACTCTGTAATGTGCCACGAGGGAACGTAATTATCCTCCACGCTTTCCTTTTTTCATAATTTGGAAGATACGTTTTCCTGTTCTCTTGTTTCCTTCTGCGAGAGACGAAGTTTGTAAAATGATAATTGAGGAAGAATTTTCAAATGTTATTATTTGAAGGCTTTGGAATATTTCATTTGTGTGAGATTTAGGATGAATTTCATGTTTCTTTGATATGGAATAGGAAGGTTTATCAGTTTCCTCTGCATAATTCTTAACACATTGGCGTCGGATGACGCACTGGTGCGTTTTTCGGGTTTTTTTACTTGAATACAGAAGACACAGTCTTCACATCTGTCTGAAAATAAATTTATAAAACACTGTAAATTGTTCAATTCTCTTCAGAAATGCCATAACATGTTTCACGAATTAAATAAAATTTCTTTGATATGTATCAATTAGTTACAGCAATTTTTCCCCAACGTAACGCGATTGAAAGGAACAGACACGAAATCACCCCGTACCCGTGTCAAGTGCCGCTCCAAACGCCCCGACGCGAACGTGTTAATAATAAAATCCGAGTAATTTATTTCAAATTTAAGAATTCATCAAAATGCTGTAAAAGAAACTTCCCTTATTCTTGGCAATTACATTCCCTCTTCCTTTCACGAAGAATTTCGAAATGAAAAATTCACTCACCAATTCAGTCTGCAACCTCTCCTTTCACCAACACATAGTAATAAAAAAATATCTCAAGTCCATTAAAAAACTGAATGAGCATGAAGAAATTCATGGAGAAATCAAGGGATGGATAATCCTCGCAAAAAAGAGTTAGCGAGGCAATCTGTTCGACGATCGATCGCCGAACCGATCGCTTTGGCTGGCGGTCGATTAACGAACTATAGAGAGACAGGCGTTCGTCTTCTCCTCTCGTAATCTCCTTGATGCTCTATCGATCGCGAAAGCAACTCCTTTGCGTGGCCGACCGGCCATGTAAATTCGATTAAGTGGCGCGAGTGCAGAGCCAGAACGGATTTTCCAGCTGCGTGTACCGATTCGAGGGCGAGCACGACGAGATCGTGAAGCTGCGGTTCAATAGGCTGCTGAACGGAAACCGAACGTGCCGCAGCGTCTCCAGCCCCGATTACAATCGCCTCCTCTGCGTTGGCTCCGAGAACTTCTCCGTCAAGGTGAGTAATACTTTTCTTAATACTTGGAAAGTTTTGTTAACTTCTTCTGATAGCTTTGAAAAAGGATTGACTTGTACTGTTTGCCAAAAGTTTCTGATCATTACCCAATGCAGAGATACGCAGGAATTTTCAAAAAGAAGCTTTTATTTACTAGCCAAATCTAGCAAAAAGGAGTATACATTTATTGATCTTTGCAACGTTAATTGTAAATTCATCAAAAATTGATAGTAGGTTGAATATTGGTGTGAATTGATTTGTGGTCCTAAACTTATGGCTGGTATTTGGAAATTCTGTGATTAGTAGCTCTTTGAGAATTTGGAGGGATTTTTGGGCTATGATATTGGTATTATATTTTTAAGTTTGGATAATGTGGAACATTTTTGAAATTTTTCAAATATAGTAAGACTTATTTTTAGTGCCTTTTAAAGGATTTTATTTTGAGAAAAAATGATTGCTCTCTGTGTGCGGATTTTTTGCATTCTTGTTCACGTACTGGTTAATTTTCTTCTTTTCCTTACGTTGAGAGTATACATATAATCTTCAATTTTACATTCAACATGCAACTCTGCTTTTAATTTAGTATTATTAACTATTTTTCGCCTTTTTTCTTCCGTGAATATTCTGCTTAGTTATTAAGTATTCCGGCTTAATACGGTTATTCACCGTTGAAGTACTTGAAATTCTTCTGTCGGTTTCCCTGTGTGCGGTAATGTGACGGAGTCGCGTGTTCCAATTAATCTTCGAACGAACTTTGAATGCGCCTCGCTCCATTTTATATTTGCACAACACGAGAGCCACTAGAGGAGCCATTCATCTTTCGTGAATACAATTGTTAACTCGTGGAACAACTGTACCAGCCATGGGCAAAGTTGGAACTCGCTCTGTTGTTCCGATAATCGCGAACATAACCTCTACGGGTACATTCTTGTTCAAAAAGTTCATCCTCGTACATTTATTAATAATTCTGACACGTTCAAAATATTTTTAATGCCTTCTATTCCCATGGAATTAGTTTCAGTTTTATTTTCAGACTTCTCTCAGGCCAAGGATTTCTTTCAAAAGTCCAAAGTGTATTCCAATTGCTACAGAATTATTTTCCCAAACATGCGCTCATTCCCTTTAGGTCGAGAAATATTTTTAGGAGCCGAAAATATTCCAGTTACTACAGAATTGCATTTACATCTGCTTCTTTTTGTACCAAGAATTTTTTTGCAAATCTAGAATAGTTCTAATTGCTATAGAGTGCATTACAAACAAAAATTCACCCCGGAATCAATTTCTCTCCAATAGAAACATCAACTAATCAACTGATTCGAACCCTTTGGAAAAAAGTCTCCACCGTCAATGGGAAAAAATTAGCATCGATTCCAATCGAAAGTTCGGCAAACGCGTCGATCGTCCGTAATTAACGAAGCCGCCATTTTCATCTGAAACTTTATCAGAAATTCCGCGTGTAAACGACGATCAAAACAGTGGTGGAAAGGGAATGGAGTGAAACGAAGCCATCGTGGATGAACGATTCGCTTGTCGAAATAAATCTGAAATTCCAATGGAGCCCAGGCCAATTCGAGTTCGTTATCGATTCAGAGAATTTATGACGCGCACGGCTTCGTGTCCGCGAATTTAAACGGCAATTAGGAACGCTAATGCCTACGAATAACCACGTCACGTTTGTTTACCGCCACGCCAATTATAATAATCCGTGGGCTAATTAATTCGCGAGCGACGGATCTGCCCCGATATCCACAGGTGCTCGATCTTCCCTGGCCGAATGCACCGCTTGTGCAACGAGATTGCTTCTGCAGCAACCGATCGCTGCCCATGAACGTGAAATCGACATCGAATATCGTCGAGGTTCATTTCACGGTTCTGTCGATGGACGCTTTGGACGATTACAATAACTTGTTCTTCGAGGGCACTTGGGACTTTGTGAAAACCAACCCTTGTATGCAGAAGAGAAGAGTTAGGGGACCATCTGGTGAGATTCGGTACAAGGCGCCTGTTGTGGACGAGGATGAGGTGAGATTTGTGGAATTGTGAAAAATTTCTTTCTTTCATTATTTAACAATTATTCTGAATCACAGAGTTGTTACATCAATTACTTAAGATTGCAGAGAATGTCTATAGTCTGTAAAGAAATAATGGGGGGATATACGCTTTGTCCAATTTAAGAATAACCTCGCTTCGCGCATGGAACCATGCCTAAGGGCGGGGCTAGAACGTCCAAACCCCCACTTAACCGCCTACGTTTTTCTTCGTCTTACTCTCTGCTACGCTCTCTGTCTGTGCGCAGAACGGACGAGAATCGGTCCGAGAGCGAGGTTATTCTTAAATTGGACAGAGTATAAACAGTGTGGTTTCACTTACCACTGTATTTAGAGGGTTATATTTTACTTCTTAATATAGCTCTCAACAGCCGAATCTACAGGGTGTCATGATTCTGGTGGTACAAGTGAGAAAGTGGTGATTCTACATGAAAAACTAAATCTCCGCCTCCGAATAAAAGAGGTTCAATTCTCGTGCGCGTGCTCTCGACTTTATGTTCGTGTGAAAGCCTGTAGACTATTTCTTTGCGAAATTTGACATTACCACTGTTTATCAATGTAAAAGTACGAGCAGAAGCAACAGTTTGTAGCGAATCTTTGAATTTAATTTTCTCGGAAACAATGGCTCGTATGAAAAGATTTTATTCTTTATTTTTGATTCAGTTTTTCATATAAGATCATCGTTTGTCCGCTTGTACCACCAGCTACATGACACCCTGTGTATTCTGAAAGCCTAGATGAACTCTGTGACTCTGAATTCTCCAATAATAAAGAAAGAACTTTTATTTTTTAATTTCTCCTTGGAAAAGTAAACGTGCTCGATTATTTTCAGAAAAACTGCGAGAAACATCCGTGGCTGATCGATCCAGGCCCGAATCAGTACCTCTACGTAAAACTCCACGGCACGATAATGTCAAACGCAAGCAAGTGCGCGACGAAGAACCGGATCGTTGTGCACACAGGAGGAGCGATCCACGTGTCAGTGTGCCCAAAACCACCTGCGGAGTCGAGGCACCACGTGGTCGAGGTTTTCAGCGACGGCTGGGCCGTCAGCAGCAACGCAATGATTCTGGCGCCGGGTCAGGACCCTATCAGGACCATTGCTGTCGAATTTATCATCAAGGAGCCTGATACATACGTTGTTACGTGGCTCGAGCTCACCAGAAGGTGATTCGAAACACTAATATAGTAGTACTGTCCGAAAAACCTAAAGTGAAGCCTCTGACGTCACACAGGGCCTAAGAGTGGGAGATGTAGGTAAACTTGCGACGGCTCGCTGTTAGTAAGCCAATAGGGATAGAATAAGGCTATCGCACTTACTCTTCTGTGAACAATAGATGACGATCGGGTCTCGTTCGAGCAGTCGGTAAACAGATCAGCAGTCGATAATTGACCGGAATGATATTTTCAAGCGCTCGAAAAAAAATTAAGTTTACGTCGCGCAGACACGATAAACAAGCGAACAGATGCCTGCGCGACACCAAACGACGTGCATCATGGTAAACTTTACTTTTTTATCCCATGTTCCCAAAATTTCTCTATTACTTCGATAAGCTTATTTTACAGGTTAAAATTCAAGCAATCCAATGGTATTTTTTCAAAATTATTCTACGAGTGGGAACAGCGTCAAATTAGTAATTGAAACTTTAGCAGCGATTGTTGCTATGTTTATTGCTATGAAATGAGCCCAAGGTTGAAATATTATCTTTAAACAAAGCCGAAATATTACGGTTAAAGTGACGACATGTCGTCTGATTTTGTCAAATTTTTCAAAATTTTAACATTAAATAGTGACTGTTTGATGGATTTTATTGGCTGTAAAAAGTGGCTGTCGGTCTGTGGTGGCACGCTGTTTTTCATTGCAGCCAGAAATTTTTTAGCTCCTTAAGCAATTCTTTAATGCGCCGAAATCTACTTTTATTATTCATTCGGTCTGTGGTGGCACGCTATTTTTCATTGCAGCCAGAAATTTTTTAGCTCCTTAAGCAATTCTTTAATGCGCCGAAATCTACTTTTCGGGAAAATGGGAATGGGAAAAAAATATTTACATTTTAGTTTTCTAACTGTTAAAAAATATTAATACATTTCCTGAGGCGTCCTTTACAATAACAATTTATTGTGTATGAGTCGCTTAGAATTTAACGTAGGTAGGAGGACAAGGCAACCAAATAATTTCTAGTTTTCCGTTCTTTTATCAGCGTGTTACATTATCGACAGCTGATTGAAATTCGTTTGTCTAAACCATTTACCTACAGCGCAACTTCCCCTCAAGCGCCTACAGTGTAAGGCCCAAGAGTAGTGGGGATGACCTGAACCGCCTATTTTGCCTCCATTTTGCTAGGCTGTGACGTCAGAGGCTTCACTTTATGTTTGTCAGACAGTACATAGTGTACAAGTTCGTAATTTTTGTGTATACAGTTTAACGATGGAGATACTATATCTCTGTTCTTATGGTAGAATGATTCTTAGTCGATCTTGGTCCTTTGGCTAGGGTATTCTTATACCTGAACATTATCGATTGCCCTTTCTTTTACGGTTAAATGATTATTGGTCAATCTGCTCCTTTATCTTGGGTACCTTTGCACTTGATCGTTATCAGAAGTCTATCTTTAACAAACCTGGATATATTCATGCTCAGAATTCACCTTCTTAAGACACTTGCTAGTTCTCGTCTATTCTAAACTAGAAATATTAGTTAAACTGAAGTAAAACAAGAAAGAGATAGCCCTAGCTAGTCTGACCATTGCCATACGGGCAACTTGCTGAGCAGTCCTGCTCAACGCCAAAGCGGTCATGGACAATCTACTAATCGACTAATTCCATACCTTGAACATCTTCTTCCAGGCCATCGGTGACATCATCAGCAGGTCTCCAGATGCCCAGGGACTGCGAACATCGTTGTCCAGAGCTGGATGCGTGTATAAACGCTTCTCTATGGTGTGACGGCATCTCCCATTGCCCGTCAGGTTACGACGAAGCCCTGACTCACTGTTCCATGCTTCTGAAGCTTCCTCCGTTGCATTTAGGCCTCGGTCTCCTCGCCATTGTCACGATCCTCGGCGTGATCTTCTTCGTTATTTGGAGGATTTGCCGCCAGAGAGCGAACAGGTCGATATCTCAGCACAGATTGAAGAGCATCTCGTCAGAGACGGCGATTATCGATGGAAAGGAAGTGATTTGCTGACACAGCGACAGTTCTGTGCGCTACGTAGAGGTCGACCGGGTGACCACCGTGTGACGATCACCCTCTGGCCTGCCAGCCGGCGTCGCGACGCTTCTCGCGTCCTCTTGAAGAGGACAAACGTGACGCCGCCTCCATGTAACGCGCAGAACTGCTCTCGCAGAACGCTCCTCGGGAGACCTAGATCATGCTTTTTACAAGCTTTCGCTACTCGATGACTTGGACACTCCTCTGTTTTTTTTCTTTATGCTCAGAAGTCGACGGTAGATCCAAATGCTTCGTCCAGGCTCTTCTTGGATGCACACTGTTGCACATAAGTGTTTCTAATTGATTTGTACGAAAGTGTATTGATCCGTAGTTTGATAACGTCGAAATGTATTGAAATGGGTAGACAGATATTTACTTTAGATATTCTGCAGATTCTATGGAAGAGAAGATTCCAAACTTTAACTCAAATAATAGTACAACAACTGAAATTAAAATCCGTGGTGTCGAATAGATTTTTTTATCTACGCCCAATTTTCATCAATTTCTCAAAGTATGAAATTTCAAAATAAACACTTATGAACAGTAGCGTACGGTAGACAGGCGCTTGTAGTCCTTTCGATTGTGACTCTGGCTACTTCCGTTCATTATTTTCGCTCAGAACACGAAATCTCAAGTTTTCACGACACCTTCTTTCGGCTACTTCGGTGAGGTTTAGAATCGAGTTGCTTATAACAAGGACAATAAGTATAAAAACCTAGGAATATCGTTTCGCTGATAGTGTTAATTGACTTTACGTCTGAAACGAGGAAGCAATTTCGATCAATCAATACGTCGATTGATTGATAGAGATCTGAATCGTTGATATTGGCACATTCGATGAGCCTGGAATTCAATTTGAAGGGAAGAAAAGGAAAAAAATGGAGGTCCAAGGCGTCGAGCAGAGAATCCAGCAAGAAACTTATACTATAGTCGTTCAATCGTTCAATCGAAGATTCTTCGATGGATCAAAAGACACGATTTTAAGCACGGGCCAATGGCTACTCTCTCTCTCTCTCTCTCTCCCTCTCTCTCTCTCTCTCTCTCTCTCTCACTCCTCCACTTTCTCATGCTCCCTTTTGGCAAGCGCGCGATGTTGTTCCGGTGATCTAGAATGTTTCACAGTGATCAATGTAGATCGAACCCTGAAATCTTCTTATTTAACATTCTTCCTTGAAGGATCGTAATCCGAAGTTGAAAGTGTTCAGGTGACAAGGAATAAAAATTCACTGATGAATATTGAAGAAAAAAAGATGAAAGAATAGAAGTTTGAAGAACTGAAGAAACCATCGATGATATGGAACTTTTTGAACGAATAGAATTAAAACCTTTTTCAAACTCGAAGCGTCTTAGAATGTACAGGGTGTCCTTTTAATCGTGCCACAACCGGTAAAGGGACGTTCCTTCTGAAAAAATGAGTTCTCGATTCGTTTTCGAAAAAAAAAGTATTTTTAAATTACGGACACCCCGTACGTACATGTATAGTTTCTAACAAGATTAGAATATTTTGCAACAGCCTAGATATTCCAGAAATTTTCACAAAGATTTCAGAATTGAAGGATTACAACGTCTGAAGGAGTAAATGGAAGAATTGATCCATTGATCGTATTGATCACGATGGAACAACCGGAAGTACATCGAGAACTATAGATACTGACCAAAATATTACGAGGTGATTACCGCATTAACGATAAACGTGACACTAGCGTAACGTAAGAAGAAAGGAAGAAATTCGACGAAGAAGAATGTGTACGTAACGAACGAAGAAAAACGTAGAAACTATGGTAGCCTGAAATTATGTGATAATATATATGATGCTGTTTTCTCCGCGGAGCTGTGCTCCGTATAATGATTGTTACAAACCTGGCGTGAGGCGCGTCGCCGACGGGAATCGATATACATACATACACGCATACAGCAACGGAGGAGACGTTTTCGATTTTTGGACCGCGTTAGGATAGGCGCCGCGACGACGCCCGAAGCCACCACATTGTACACCATGTTCATACTTTGTACATATATGTAACTTGATTATTTATCTATTTGTAACCGGGTGACGGGGCACGTGACTCTGCTCGCAGCTACCGTTTCGAAATTCACGTTTCAACTTTATGGCGAATTTTCAAGTTTGTATCTACTGCGAAAATCCGCAGAGCAGAAAATTTGTGTAACGATTTCTAAGTTTGGTGGTTTGAATTTCGGGATCCCGAAGATTTGGATTTTGTAATTTTCAAAATTTTCGTTTCTTGTTCGAAATCTCTGGAGCTTAAAGTTTCTGAACGATTTGAAATTTTCGAGTTTCCTAAATTTGGCGGTTTAAACTTTGATATTCCAGAGATTTGGAATTTAGGTATACTGTTCTGGTGTATTTAGGTATACCATCCAAAGAACTTCGAAGTTAGAGTAGTTTATGGAAAATAAATTGGCACGTATAATTATTTCTTTATTTTAACAAAGGTCAACGTACACTTATAGGCGAAAGCATAATTTTTGTTATTCAAAACTGTGAGAAATCTATAATCGGTGATTGTGACGATTTTGGTTACTCTGGTGTTAAATTGCCAAATCTACAGATCTCTGCAAATTCACAATACTCGAAGGAAATCACTTCTGTTGTCATTTCAATGATTAACAAATGTCTACTGCGAACAGAGACGCGTCTCAAACCGCTTTACTACTAGTCACTAAGTGTAAAGCTCGCGAAGCAGGACGCAAAACGAATCAGTAAAAGGTACGTAAACGAAAAATAGAAGAAGAAGAAGAAGAAGAGGAAGAAGAACGGTCAGCTAACTGAAAGCACCGCCGTCGTTTTACTCGTCGTGTTCACCGTGTGCACGCGTTAATCGGAGAACAGAATGTCCACCAGAACGGAAGCCACAGTCGACAGCCAGTTTCGAATAACCGAGCCTCCATTCTACGTTCATTGAGCAGACAATCGTTAACGTATTCGCGTGTAACCCCACCGTTTTTCACTCAAGATCTATTCGCCCTATCTATGCTTCAAGCGGACATACCATTAACATGTTCATTGTCCAAGAAATATCAGCACAAAGACTAAATACACAAGAGGAATTTATATGGTTGAAAGGCGTGTGCACGTTTAAGGTAGACACTTTGTTGCGTACTAACAATGACATCAAGATGACCATGATATGACTTTGAATAGATACAAAGGTGTTTCAATCGGAGGAATCGGTTTATGTCGGATAATTTTCTTTTTTTAGTCATCGTCAAATGCACATCCTCCAACCATATAAACTCCCCTTAATACAGTTTTGCCTTATTTCCAATATCAACGGAAGTAATTTAGATGTTCGTTACAAGCGAGACACCCTGTATGCGCACATTTCTGCAGATGGTGCTAAATCTAGGGAAGAAGTTTAATTTAAATCTTGTAATACTTTCTGCGTTACAATGGGTGTCCCAATACTTATGAACTCATAAGATTCTTTTGATACGAAAAAAGTATGTACTTCAGAGCATCCTAAGCAGACAGTGAACGCGTCAATATGGCGACCATGCTCGCGCGGCGTCCATCTTGCTACGTTTAACCCCTTCGCGCAAGGAAAATAAAAACAGAATCCTTTCCATTTTTAAGTAAGTCCTCTCTTTTACGATTCAAACGCGTTTAACACGTTAAACGCCCAGCCTGTTTTGCTTACCGTTCCGTTCAGGCCACGCTTGGCCGTCAAGTGGGCCATGCGAACTATAAACAGAAGACGACTAACGAAAAGTATACTGTCAGTCGCCGGTGACTGACGCGGCCTGAACGGGAAGGCATAGTGTCAGTCGCCGGTGACTGACATGGCGCTTAACGTGTTAAAAGAATTCCTCAGCGTAGAGGGAGCCACGGTAGCTCGATGGAGAGCTCGTTAAAAAGAAATGAGCGATCAAGGTTGACGGCACAAAAACAACGGAAGAAGAAGAGATGGAAAAACAGATTCTCGTCGAATTGCCACTGGATTTCGTCCTTTACGAGAAGACTTAATTAATCCATGCGAGATTAGGAAAACAGAAACATAACGAACAAACCACACACACGTACACACACACACACGCACGCACACACAGAGCGTTTCTTATTAATTTTAAGGTTAAATTCAGCTCGATGTCGAATCGAAGCGAGCCCGCGTTTTTTCTACTAAGTAAGAAGATACTCGCCCGCTCGTGCAACGAACTTTCAATTCCATTACTCGACGCGTCATCTCTTGCGTTGCGGGGACCAATGCGTACACATACATACGACCGTTGGAATTTCGACCATTGCCAAACGAAGAAAGAAGAGAAGAAGAAGAAAAAGCACGAGAACAGTTTTCTCAACAAGTTTGTTCGTTCTTGAATGTGTTCTCCAGAGAATCGAAGACTGACCAATTTAGTTTCGTGTTCTAATCGTTGCTCTCGCGGCACGCACACACACACACACACACACACACACACGCTCGCGTGATATCGGTTCACTGCCATTTCGTTTTTTATCCGCGCGTCGAGACGTCTTCGAAGGACTCGATGGGCGCCAATCGTTATCAAACTGTCCTAACCAATGAAGGAAAAACGACGAGGAAGGATTCTGTATAATATTCAGGAGGCGAAAGGAGCGATTTCTTTGTTCGTCATTCGGATAATTCGAGTAATTTGGATAATTCTAATATTCGAGATGTTTGAATTGTCCGAATTATTTGAATAGTTCGACTGTTCGCGGTTAAAATTCGAATTCCACTGGTATTCAGATATTCGCGTTATTCGAGTAGTTCGACTCTTCGAAATTGAAATTCGAATACGCGGAATATTTGAATTTTCGGCCCTAGTTCAGAATACGGCCGCCAGAGCGTGAAAAATTCACCGATATTTCGAGAAAATTTTACAAGAGATAGCACGTTGATTTTAGAAGAGGAGAAAACGTAAAGGAAAAGTTCGCCAAGAAGATAAGCGAGAAGGATTTCTTTGATTTATTGCTCGACGATCGCTCACACGGACGAGTT